GAAATAATTTTCTATAACGCCCCTTAAACCCCCGTAACGCCCCTTGGGGTTCGAACTTTGCAAAATCCGTTCTTAGCTGACGTCTACTCCATGAAGGGAACCTACCTACCAAATTTCAAGTCTGTAGGTTTAATAGTTCCGGAGATATCGTGATTAGTCAGTGAGTCAGTCAGTGAGTGAGTCGCTTTTCTCCTATATATATATATAGATACATATATATATATATAAATTAAAAGGAAAACTGCTCATTCGTTATTAATTGTTGCCCATGGGATTGTTTTAGTCAACGTTTCCGATTAAGTATTTCTCTCTCTCTCAGTCAGATTCAAAGATTTGTTAACCACAGGGAATATTTAGTTTTGATTCACGATCAGATGACAAGGTTGAGCTGGAATTCCATTCCCCATATCTACGCCCCAGCAACATTATATTCTAGACCTCGACAATTTTTTAAGGCATCAGCTCTTCTACAAGGTGGGTCTTTAGCGAAATTAGGACACAACACAGGTGGTTTATAATTAGGAAGAATTTTTTTTTTCTTTTCCACATAAAAAATTTGAATCGAGATCTGTTGGTTCGGTTCGAAGAAAATACGCGAGGACTAATGGGATGAACTTCGTGTTACTAAGCCATTTAGTTAAGTATTAAAGAAACGGCCAGGATAGCGTGACGGGAGTGACTGCCTGCTTGTAGTCGTTAATGTTTTGGTCGATTTCAAGGACGTTTTAAGTTATGGGCCCAGGGCCTCGCCTCGTTCTCTACTGGGCCTCAATAAAATCATGACTCGAATACTTTTAATCATCAAATGTTATTCCCGTACACACACTCCAAAAAACTAGGAATTTCAAGCTGTATGCCAACTAGCAACAGTGGGAAGGCTACATTATGTCGTGTCCATCGTCCGTGGCTTGGCCTAGACCATCAATACTCAGCCTGCAGCCCGCGGGTAGTATGGGGCCCTCCCGACCTTTCTGAGTGGCTCAGGCATGGCCCAATTGCACTAATAGATTTAATTGTTTATGAACAGTGCATCAACAATTTAGTGAGAAATTCTATCCATCGCATATATAAGTTTTGCTATCGAATTGCGAGATAACTTTTTTCCTTGTTGTAAAAAGGCTAGTGAGAGAGATACGGCTATGAGAACAAGTAACAGTCGAGTAACGATCATTTCATGGGTGAATCTAATTTTAATTAACCCTCATGTCTTCGAAGCAAAAAATATCTGAAGAATATATGTTGTTTCAAGACAATTGGTATCTTGACTATTTCGTAGAAAAAAACAAACAGGTATCAACGATTTGTTTGATTTATCGTAAAAATGTTATATTTAAAAAATATAACTTTTTTCCTTACTGTACCACTAATCACAAATCTTTAAATGTGTCTTTTTCTAGAGAATCTCTTTCAAGACGAGATAAATCGGCTTTCTTGAAATTTTTTTTTTACACCAGCAGCAAAATATTTGTGAGGGGGGGGAGGAGAGGCTAGGCATTTCGATGAAAATAAATTGAAATTACTCCATAACTGGGTAAAAAATGCATAAAACCTATTTTTTTGTGAGTTGTTGAGTTTGATAGTTTAATATAGTTTTAAAATAAAATGAAAAATTATGAGTTTTAATATTTTTATCAACTTTCCGTATTGTAAATATCCTTGATCTTATAGCGCTCCCTCCTTCAATTTAATCCTCCCGAGAAATAATTGTCAAATGTGACCCAGCGGAATAAAAGATTGAGTATCTCTGGCCTAAGCCTACCACCGTACGCCATAATTGCTCATTTAATCGAAAAGGGGTAGTTATGGTCGAGTCGATTTGTGTGCGTGTGTACCTAGGTCTGAGATTGAGCGTCAAGCACATTTATTGGTTTCGGGTTACCGTTTCCATGGGTATTTGACAACGTATGCTATACGTCTTCTTAAAAGGGTCTCAGGCACGGCCTACTTTTGTATTCGGGCCCAGGGCCTCAAGACGTCATTGATCGAGCAGCGTCCTGATTCTAATAAAGACTCCTTGGGTAGAAGGGTCGATGTGTGAGAGGCTTGCACCTCTCTCTCGGGCACCTAGATGTGTGTGTGGGGGGGGGAAGGGAAGAAACACTCGACATGATCCAATTAATCTATTTATTTACCACTTAGAGAAAAGACACAATTTTAACTAATAATAGTAAGAGAATGTCTCAATATTAATCATCAAAGAGGAACAACGACGGTAAAATATGAACAATTAGGAGACTATCAAACTTGATCCTTACCTTAATAAAGGATCAAACCTATCATCTGATTTAATCTAATATCACATCAATCCTTGTGAACAATCGTCACTTTAAAGTTTTCTCCTAATAAGAATCAAATCGCTATAATTCTAATATTATACCTTCAGTAGCATTCTCACCTGACTCGAGTATATCTTCTTTCCTTCTCTCTCTACAAGATAGAAAACCTCACCTATTTATAGTAAGTTAATTTAAATATCACGATTCTTTTCTTCCGAAGGGTTGGTTGTGAATAACGCGAATTGATAGCCCATAGATTTCCCAAGAGGATTAATTGGTAAAACGCGTATAGATCCGTCACATATATACGGTGCATCTCACAGGTTCTGACCGTGTCGTGTGGTGTGGATAATTAAATTCCAGCACAGGTATTGACCGTGTTATTCGACTTTTATTTCTAAATTACGAAATGTATTGACTGTGATTGGAGAACATTTTGTGTGTCTAGTAGACAAAGAGAACCTGAAATGATAAATAAATAAATAAAAACAAGAAATAAATTTTGCCCGTTCCATAGCCTTTATAATTGAGACTCCTGGCATCTAAGTCAGTGGAACGGAAGATTTGGTGTTATTTCATCGTCATTCAAAATTATAAGGAGTAATTATGAATCTATATAGCTGTAATTTAAGTGAATCGTAGGCAGGAATAGATGATGGGAAATGTCTTGTAAACAGATGTATATCCACAGGAAAAAATTCCATTCTGAATTTCAAATCTATTCCATTCTAAATAAACATTTGGCAATTTTTGCTTTCATGAAATAAATTAGTTTTCTTTATTTGTGAGAATTAAATTTTGTAACGTTGTGAATTTTGTAAATGAAAAATAAACAGCTTGTATACATGAATATGTGCTCTTAATTTATTATTTATGAAACCGTGTCGATAAGTTCATTGCGAACAAAAATATGAAAACAATAATTAGAATCCCAGAAAAAAATATACATTATATAAAAATAACTTTAAATCATAAACTTTAGAAACTTCTGGTAAACTTTAAGAGCTATTCCAGACAGGTTTTATATCCTGGACTTTTAATTTACATTGAGCAGATTAAGGATTCCAGTACAAACAGCAGAATCAGGTGAACTGCCAACACATTTGGGAATACCCAGATCACTTGCATCTTGAGTCTCGATCATGCCCTTGAGGATTTGCAAACACAATACACTGACCTCCTATCGTAGCATTCCCTAGAATGGTCATTTCTCGGAAAATCCAAACATTAAGAATATGATCTAGGACTTCGTCAACCGCAAACTACTATGTTTCAAAGTTCATTTAAATAGTCAAAAAATACAAACTGAAGAGCAATCATAGTAATAATAATAGAGTAATTCTGCTTTTTATTACGTTTGTTGCAGGATAAAAGAGTCACGACCTATTTTATTAATATTTTATCACTCGCATAATCGAAACAAGGTGAAAGAAAATTAATACTTAGCGCATAATAATTCTAGTTTCTTCATTCGAATTCAATCTTTATCTTGATTGGCATTCTAGTTACTTTACAAAAGCCTCTGTAATTCTTTCTCTTTAGTTATTATACTTTTATTTGAAATGTTGGTAATTTTTGAGTATTTTGTTGCAACAAAAAAGGACATGTGCTTTTGTATTGAAACTCGGCGTGTATATAAAATCAGATAACCATATCCCATTTGTTAATCCCGCATATATTAGTTGTTTCAGAAATCAATTTTTTAAATTGGTATGTCAACCCCATAACATTAAAATTTAAATTTCAGATTCTTTTTGCTGTTTGTTATTTCTTAGTTCCTGAACTCTAATATTACGAATTTGAGTACTTCCGACGTTAAAATGATATTTTAATATGCTCTAACAATAAACTATTTACTAAAACTTCTAAAAACAGGTCAGCTTGTAATAAATTTTCAGAAATTGTAAATTAAAATAAATTTTTTTAAAGAAATACAATTAATAAAAATTATTATTAAAAATAAATTTTGTGTTTTCCATTTTCATGATTAAATTTGATTCTCCTTATGTAAAATAATATAATTTAAATTTATGGCACTCCATATTAGCATACTGCGTAAGTGAATTGTAAGTAATTAGTATAATAATTGTTCTTTTATTTGAAGTATTTTTTTGTCATTTCCTACTATTAGTTCACACTTTCCGTATATATTTATATATATCTTGTTCAAATTTTCAATCGTTAATAAAATATTTTTTATTCATCCACTCAAGTTCAAATGCATTTTTTTAAAACTTGCAGTGGATGGCACTTGATTTTGTTGTGACTAATGCCACCTGCCTGATGAAGTCAGATCGAGGACCTCGAATTTCAACGCGGCTAAGGGCAAGAAATTTACGCCTGTCGTTAACCTTAGCTTTGAGCACCATGTAGGGGATAGTACGATTTTGCTCGGTCTCACCCCAATTTAGAAGGAGAAAGCCCTGGGGGTGGCCAGGGGCCTCCCACCTTTCTCCTTCCACCAACCACACGAGAGGCGGCTCGACGGCTATTTAGAGTACCACTATATATTTACAAACATCTATGTCATCTCCGGGATTCGCACCCAGTCCCTACGGCACCGCAGTCAGCGTCGCTAACCACTATACCGGTTGGGCGACGCACATTTGATTTTAATACAGTTTTGTCAAATATTAATTCATTAATTAAATTGAATTATTGAATAAAAAAGCAAACAAAAACAATAGTCCACCACTATATATAGAAAGGAAAATAGCTCATTGTGTTCCTGTAGCGCAAGAATAGCGCATTGGGCTTCTAATCCAAAGGTCATGGGTTCGAATCCCACCTGGGATGGCATTATTTCTGAAAATGCGATTTTTTTTACTATACTGTTTTCTTGGAATTGGAATGAATGAATAAATAGTAATAAACACAAAAATAATACTCCAACACCCTAGATAGAATGGAAAATCACTTTCTATTTTGCCACTTAATATTGTGATTCTGTCCATGTCCATACAAATTTATACTAATTGTAATTATTTAATGAAAAGTAACTAAAAAATAAAATTTTTCTTTGTTGGCCTAAGTTGGAACTGACCCTACAATTTTTTTTGTATTACTTGTTTATAATTCTTTTTGTTTATTCTGGAAAAGATCTTTCAATATTTATTTTTTGTGGGAATTTAAAATTTAGAAATGGACCCTTATTCTTTTTTTGTTCTTGGTGCATAAGCAAAATCTTCTCGTAAAAACATCATTACTTAGAAGTAAAAATACTATATATTTATAGAAATATACCGAAAGGCGATTTTTTCCCTTTAAATAAAAAGTTCGATATTTTTCACTAATTTATCAATATAAAGTGAATGCAGACTTGTTACCTTTTCAAACAGGCACTCAACTTTCTTTTCATTTAATTAAATTATCATAATAACTGATTTTAAAAAGTAGAAATTATTTTTTCATTTCTATAACGCTTCAATAATGATGCATCACGAATACTGATCTATTTTTTAAAGAAATTGAAATGATTACACTTTAAAATTAATGTAAATATTTGAATTTGAAGAAGTTGCTTATTTATTACCATTATCATCTGCGGTAGGAGATACATGAAGTGTTTGTACTTGAATATTGTATCTATATTAAGTATTGCGAATTACATTTGTTTTAGGTTGTGTGAAAAAATCGAAAATAAAACTCCATATTTAAATTCATTTTCCTTTTTTGAACAAAGTAAATTGACGTATAATAATCATGTAAACAATTTATCTCTAAAAGAATTCCAAATAGTACATCTAATTGAAGAAATTATAAGAAAGATTAAATTGCATAAATGTAAGAATTGTTTCTATTATTTATGTCATAAGAATGATGTATTGCTTATATATTTTAAGTTTTCCTGAATTAATAAATATAATTCTTACTTTTATCATCATATTCCAACAACTTGGCAAATTTTTCTGACCTTGCTTGTTCTCTTCTTTCAATTTTTTGGATTTTAGAGAGGGCTCCAACTGTTAACATGAGAGCCATAGCTCTGTAGAAGTACGACGATACCATAATGTAGAAGTCTGTTAATAAAAAAAAAAAGTCAGGTCATATTTATTGAAGTATATTAAAGTTTTTTTAAAAAATCAAATATTATATTTAACAACTTTGCAATATTCCACGATTTTACAAGAATCATGTTTATTGAGAAAAGTAATGTAACAATGTGTGAAAATATCTTTTGGCAGATAAATTTTATGTTTCTTTTACGAAATCGTTTGGTTGTAATATACATTACATTTCTTTAAGTAAATCGTTTGATATATATATATATATATATATATATATATATATTTATGTTTAAGTGATAACTGCTTCGGTAACGCAAAATAGAATTTGTATATATTTATATATACAGTGGGTCACAAAAGTGTTCGTACACTTGCAATTTCTTATAAAATTTAATGTTTTCGACTAATAAAAATTAATATATTATAATTGTAATTTTTCATGATATCTGCAACTTGTTCTTAATGGAATGACATAATTTTTTAAAAATAGTATAATTATTTTTTTTTAAATTAATTATCAAAAAGCTACTTAAAAATTAACGCCACAAAAGTCTTCATACACTTAACAAAAATCTCAACCTAGCTTTAAATATTGTATTTCTTTCTTAATTTAGTACTTAGTAGGATATCTTTTAGTGTCCACAACAACTTTTAAGCGTCTTGGTATAGATTTAATTATTTTTTTGTAATTTCTGAATCGATTTTTCACCATTGTTCTGTAATTATTGTTTTTACTTCACATTATGCGTTTATATGTCGTCTTTTCTTTTTTTTTACCTCAGAATCTCACCAAATATGTTCTACTGGTCTAAATAAAGTGATTGAGAAGGTGTTTTCATAATTTGGGGACAGTTACAGAGACACCAGTGGCGTACATTGAGAGCAGTGCGCTTGGCGTTATTATCCTGTTAAAAAATGAAAACGTTTCCAATATCCAAATTTTGGGCGGATAATTTAAAATTTCTCTTTAAAATATTTAAATAGAGCTCATGATTCACAATATCATCAAAAAATACCAAATTACCTAATTATGTGGCCGATTTACACTCCCACGCCAGAACACTTCTAACTCCATGTTTTGTTGATTCAACTAGATTCTTGGAATAAAGTTTCAGAAAATTCAAAACTGACAGCAAATTGATGGAATGGCAGACAATTCAACATTTTTGGTTCCGATGGGCCTATAATAGCTTGTAAATTAAAAAATAAGGAGTTTAATCCCATGAATTTATGTGAAACAAGAACTTCACTTCCATGCTTCAGCATGAAGGTGTTCTGGCGTGGGGGTGTAAATTGGCCTCAGAATTAGGTAATTTGTTATTTTTTCATGGTATTATGAATCATAAGCTCTATTTAATTATTTAAAAGAGAAATTTTAAATTACCCGCCCGAAATTTGGATATTGGAGACTACTTAATTTTTTAACAGGGTAATGATGCCAAGTGCACTGCTCTCATTGTACGCCACTGGTGTCTCTATAACTGTAACCAAATTATGAAAACACCTCCTAAATTCTTTTATTTAGCCCAGTAGATCATATTGGGTGAAATTCTGATGTAAAAAAAGAAAACGTGACAAATAAACACAAAATGTGAAGTAAAAACAATAATCACAGATGAATGGTGGAAAATCGATGCAGAAATTACAAAAAAACTGATTAGATCTATACCAAGACGCTTAAAAGTTGTTGTGGACACTAAAAGATACCCTACTAAGTGCTAAATTAAGAAAGAAATACAATATTTAAAGCTAAGTTGTGATTTTTGTTAAGTGTACGAAGACTTTCGTGGCGTAATTTTTTAGTAGCTTTTTGATAATTAATTTTTTAAAAAAATAGTTATACTATTTTAAAAAAATTAATTATGTCATTCCATTAAGAACAAATTGCAGATATCATGAAAAATTACAATTACAATATATTAATTTTTATTAGTCGAAAACATTAAATTTTATAAGAAATTGCAAGTGTACGAACACTTTTGTGGCCCACTGTATGTAAATAGTTCATTGGGAGCTTTGTCCTGCGAAGTCTAAGTGAATTTTTTTTTAAAAAAAAAATCTAGATTCATAAGACAGTGTGCCCTTTCCAGAATGGCTGAAACTTTCAGAAAAGAGAGCTTTAAAATTTCCTCCTTTAACGGTCAAGTTGGTGTCGCACTCATGTTGGCGTTTGAGACTCTAACAGATGCCCTCAAGTATCAGTTTAATGTTACTGATAATTGTAGTGGGATGTATGTATAAAAAAACCAGTACTTATAGATATCACGCGAGGACGATCGTTTTGGCGTGATCCATAAAGCACAGGCGTTCGGAACGGAAGGTGCCTGGTTCGAATCTTCCTACATATCCATAACCCGATACCCGGATAAATTTATCTCTAAAATTGCTAATAACTATCCTGAAAATGAAAATAATTTTTCTGATATTCAGCATCCTCCCTTCTTTCTTAAATTATGGATCATATTGCCCAAACTTAATTTTTTAAAAAAATGCCCTGGTAAGGAAGACATTATTAATGAAACGCTTAAAAGTCTCTCAAATAAAAATTCTTTTCAGAATTACATGCATCATAAAACGGATTCTTGATATTGGCTATTTTTCTATTTCCTTGATATTGGCCAATGCCATCCCGATTCTAAATGTAGGTGAAGATCTCACACAATCAGATAACTACAGATCTATTTCTCTTTTAACAGTTCTTAGCAAAATTACCGAAAAAATTATAAATTGCCACAATAATTATCGTACTAGTAGAAATATTCTTATATACCAGAACAACCTGGGTCCAGGTCTAAGCACTATTGCGAGTTGTCGAATACACATCTGGTTTTGTGAAAAAGGAATCCACTAGAGTAATTTCCTTTTTTTTTTTTTTGATATCCAAAAAAGCCGTTGACTATGTTTGGCACAACGGTTTTTATTTATAAATCGATAAAAAGTAAACACCCCTCTCCCCAAAATTTTAATCAAAATTATTAATTACTATTTAAACAATAAAAACTTTACTGTTAGAGTCATTCAAACTAATTCTCAACACAGAAATATCACTAACGGTGTTCCGCAGATCCTACGTTATTCAACATTTATATCCCTAAACATGACAAGCATCTCTGTATGTACGCCGATGATATTGCAAAATTGGCTAAATAGAATAACCCTAAAATTGTCACTCGAGCTCTTAAAAAGCCTTTTGTAACTCCGAAAGACTGGTTCTCCTATTGCTATATATCTTTGAGAATATTGTATCTCCAAATCAGAAGACGTCTTTTCTTGTAACCATGAAATAATTAATCCTGATAGCTAGCTTCTTCATAGCTGGATACTCTGGTCCTTACATACCTCGGTAATATAATTGATACCAAACTTATATTTTACCAAGGCATTACACACGGTAAGACATTCATCTAATTTAATAATCCCACGAATTGGACTTACATCTACATTAAGTAGAAATAAAATGCTTATTTATATATACACTGATCCTCAGATCACTCTTAACTTACGCTTGCCCTATTTAGGCTCATATGATACTAGTACTCATATAAAAACATTCGAATGTTTTCCAAATTGCATTATTAGAGAGATTCTTAAAACTAAATTGTCTATGAAAAGTAATATCAAAGTCATCCACACGTATACAATTTAAAAAATGTATTGAAAAAAATCTCTCTTTCGATTGATGAAATAGATTTACCTCAAAATTCCACTTTAAATAATGTTGAAAGGTGTTTTTTTCGAACATTAATATTTACATACTTGCACACATTAATAAATAAATTTCCTTTTTAA